ATATATATATGCTCTTTCTAAATATACATAGAAGGAAATATAGCATTAAAAACATTAGTGTTGGGGAGGACTTTCTAAGTATGACATAAATATAGAAGACAAAAAGAGACAGATTTGACATCAAAAGTTTAAACTTCTGATGACAAAATAAACCATAAACAAAGTCCAAAAATATCAAACTTGGAGAAAATTTCTGCAAAATCAATAGAAAAAAGACAATCTAATAAAAAAACGGGCAAAGAATATGATGAGACAATTCAAAGAGTCATGAATGGCTAATAAACACATGAAAAGAAGCTTAATGTGATGGAGAAAATGCATATTAAAACTTCCTTCACCTCTTAGTACGTCGAGGCTAGATGAAATCTGACTAGCGTGTGGTAGAGTAACAGCACTCAGCCACGGAGCCTCTAGAGGTCTTGCCTTCCTCCAGGCTGGGAGGAAGCAGCGTGTGGTTCTTTCACATCTTCCCTGCTCCCCTGGAGCGGGAAGAGGTATGACCAGAGGAAGAAGCAATAAGCCGCAGGAAAGAGGAATCTATACCATTGGACTTAAATGAAATCTGACCAGATAACTTCTTTAATGTTGTAAGGTATATTGCTGAATATATTAGTCTGTTTCCACCAGGTAATCCAACCATCCTGTAATCCTCATGTTTTTTACCTTAAATCATCTGTCCCGAGCAGTGATACTGCTGGGTGCTATCTAGATATGGTTACTTAGATATGAGTGTTTTCTGGAGCCTGAGAGAATTACTCCCTATAAATTCCTAATCACAAATCATACACCCTTCATCAGGACCTCAATAGCAGTTAAAAAAGAACAGCCTTTTTGAATAAAATACCAGAAGACCACACAGATGTTCCCAGTACATTATGAGAAAAGGATCGGGTTCAGAGATAAATTCTCCTGCATTTGGCCCAGCGACAGGCCATTCAAAATTCCCAAAAGCAGCCCAAAAGCCTGATCAAAATCAGAAACAAGCACTTCCAGATCTAGAAGATCTAAACTCCTGCCATCACGGTGAATAACAAGCATTTTTAGGCTAGTGCTTCACATAGGGGTCTAATACCCGTGCCAACCACCCCTACCAGTGTCCAGACATGAAGGTTTTCAAAGGGAAGAAGATCCTAATCTACAGTCCTCTTCTTCTCCCTTTAGGGGTTAAGAGGGAGGAAGATCAGGAGTCTGGGCCCCAACCTTCCAAAGCAAAGGCAAAGTCAGCTCACCAGAATGGATACTTGGCATAGATGAATGGGAAAAGTCACTATTTCTTTCCTTTTTTCTATAAATTTTAATTCTATAAGGGACTAAATATTTAGATACTGTCCATATTCCCTGTAAAAAGTAAAGAAAGCCCACAATAACATTCTCCACAAAATCCCAAGACATGAAATACATGAAACCAGAGCTATCTGGCACAGAGCAGCTTGAACTTGGCTTCCCTGCACCAACTTTATAAAGTCCTTGATTCCACACATAGTACACAAACAGTGAAATGCCATGGCTCCTGAAAACAGCTCCATAAAAAGAGAATGCAGTTTTCAACCTTGATACCAATGCTCTGCCGCTCAGGGCTTCAAAAGGCCATTCCTGCCTGACCACCTTAAATATTTGTGGTTTCGATCTGGCAGCTTCTCTAAAACTAAACACATACACTTTCTCAGTGTAAGTCTGCTCACTGTAACTGCATACCACTTTGGGAACAGGAATTCAGGAGCGCATAACTGCATAATTAGGCTCCTACACAATTGAGCTTTTGATTTCATATCTACTGAAAACTCTGTGCTGCTGCAAGTTTGGCCATCCCTTCAAAACCCAGTCAGGTCAGAAGTGTGAAAAGCAGCAATAATGAAGTGACAATTTAACTTCGCTGCTACTGGCAGGACATAAGAGCAGCTGGGGACAGGGCTCAGAAGACCTTCCTCCTTCCAGGCCTGGAATAGCCCTAGAACCCACATGGCAGCAGCAGGACTGTGGCTCTGCAAACCACTTATTGCAGAATGTTTCCACCAGGCAGCCTCTGACAACCTTGTGGGCTTCTGGATGTATCTTTTTAAAGGAGAGCTGCAACCATAGATATCCTATGGAGCTAGCTTCAAAGTGGACTGAAAGCTGCCAACAGCAGAGAATTGCCAGTAATAAGAATGTCTGGAGGCACTAAGGTCTTCTGGTGGGACTTGTAAAGTAGGGGGACCTTATACTCATAGGTATCCTCTTCACCTCTCCAAATGCTAAGCAAAGAAAAACAGGGATATCAATGGGAGAAAGGCAAAGAGTGGGAAACAGATATGAAAGGCATACTAATGCACATACGTACACACAGGGTGCCAAATATCCCATGACCAGAGTTCTCTATGGTTTTTAGAAGTTCTTCCTTAAATAACTTAAGAAATTAAGTGGAATCATATTTTTCTTCACTAAGAATGTCTACCTTGACTTCCCAGGTAGTCAAAAACCAAGCCAAACCAAAACAAAAAACTAAATACTGACAATGGAGAAAAGGACATCAGGGTTTTGTAATATTACTTTCATTTCCCTAACAAGATACAGTATAGATTGAAAAACTCTATGTTCTCCTATGATCTGAAATCTTTCACATCTGAGGGACTTCGTGAAGCTTTCCATGACCTAGACATTATTTAAAAAAACCTTCCAATTCACCACCTTGGCCTCTGATATGGACAAAATCAGGGCCACTCTACCAGGGATAGGAATGGCACATCACAGGAGAATCCTAAACTCCCTCTAATGCCCACACGTGGTACAGTGTCAGTGTGTCTGGAAGCCATGACTCTGAGTAGGGCTGGTGTCCTGACTTCCACCTCTTCTGGCAGACCTCACAGTAGCAGAGTAAGGGCAGAAGAGTAAAACATTAGCAGTTGAAATGGCTTCCATATAGACCAGAAACAAGGTTCAACTGGTAGGCCAAGCCAAGGATGAAACTTTATCCTTTATACCCAATCAAACCCATTGTCCAGCCAGTGACCCCACAAGAATCACTCCAGGGACACAACCACTGATCAGAAGGCACACTTACCGCCTCTCCCCATTGTGCTCAAACTTGATTCTGACGTCACTCTGCCAAAGAAATGACAGACAGGTTAGCGGGTTCTCTGGCATGTGTTAACTCCCAGGTAAGCAACAGGCAGTCCCTTAGCAACATTAAGCAAACATCCCCGATGTCCTGTTCCAGCTTTTCTAGCCCCTAGGCATTCCTTTCCAATGAGTTATAGTCTTCCAGTTCTAACCTCAGGGGCAACAAAGCTCTTGGAACAAGATCCCTAAGTGGCTGCTACAGCTTATACAGCTTATGCTGTGCTCTGGCACCTCACTCCTCCATATAACCTCCTGGACCGGATACCAATCCTTCTTGGCTAATGTGACTGAACAGAGAAAGAAATTTTAGTACTAATACTTCCTAGCTTTATGGCCACGAGCAAGTTATTTATCCTCTATGAACCTTAGTTTTTCCATCTGCAGAGTGGGGCTAAATATATCTAATGTGCAGAGTTGCTATGAGAACTAAATAAGATAAGTAAAATACCTAATACATAGTAGACATGCAATAAATGGTTACTTCTGCTACTACTGATTTCTGTGATCCTCTCACGGCTACCCCCACTGGGGATAACATGGGTCCTGGAACAAATTACCTTATAAGTGCCCCCAACTTTATCCTAAATGAATACCATGAGAGTAGCCTATAAGATGCAGGAGGACAGGACTCATGTCTATTTTGTTTCTGTACCCCAGAGAGAATCAAAGGGAATGGTATATATTTGTGCTAAAAATATTTGTTAAATGGGTTAATTGGAGAACAGAGTTGAGTGTAAACATCAGAAATAAAAGGAAGCAGAAGCATTAGAATGTTAAGGAACAAATCAAGGAGGAAGAGATATTGTAAAGGGCAAACAACTTGTGGGACAGGAAAAGGGAAGAGATGTGACAGAAGAAAAAACAAGGTATAGAGGAAAAAGAAAAGTAAGATTGTGAGGAAATCAATAAATAATAAAGATGGAGAAGAGAAAGAGTTCATAATCAGTGGATGAAAATCATATTGAGAAAGATATTAATAGACTGTGGCTTGGAAGAAAGTAGAGGATTTCAGAGTATTTGAAGATGAGGAACACAGAGCAGACAAAAAAGGAAGAGAGTCTGAAAGGTAGAATGGGTGCATAAGGACTTCCTCTTCCCAAGAGATTAGGGGCCTAGAATTCTCTTCCAGTCCACTTAACTGGACAGGTGGTTCTAATTTACACTCTTAAAATTATTGAGAACCCCAAAGAGCTTTTATTTATGTAAATTATATGTACTATTCATCATATCAGAAATTAAAACTGAGAAAAAATTTATTTTACTCATTTTAAAATAATTAACAACCATTACATTAACATAAATACAGTTTTTATTAAAAAAAACACACTATGGTTTTTAAAAGTTTAGTGAGAGTTGGCTGGGTAGCTCAGCTGGTTAGAGCATTGTCCCAATACCCCAAGGTTGTGGGTCTCATCCCTGGTCAGGGCACATACAAGAAGCAACCAATGAATGCATAAATAAGTGGAAAACAAATTGATGTCTATCTGTCTGTCGGTTTCTCTTTCTCCCCTCCCCTTTTTCTGCCCCTTCTCTCTCTCTAAAATCCATAAATAAAAATAAAATAAAAAAATTTAGTGAGAGAATGCAAATCTTTTCAATGCATGGCTTAATAGGAGACACCTGAGTTCTCATATCAGTTTCTGCTTTCAATATGTTGTGATAACATATCATGAAGCCTATGGAAAACTTACTGTGCATTCTTAAAGGAATAAGGGTGAAAAGGATAAGTAACATCTTAGTATTAGTATGAAAATAGTTTAGACCTAATGGACTCCTGAAAGGTCTTGGGAACCTCCTAGAGGTCCCTAGGTCACACCTTGAGAATCACTGAATTAAAATATAGGCTTACCATCCTCTAACCCATTATTTTAAAGACAAGGAAACTGGGGGTCAGAGAGCTTAATGGCTCTGAAAAGTTCCCCTACTAAATAGTGGAGACCGAAGCTTCCCTGAGGAACAGTTTTGATGGTACAACTCTTAAAACTATAGCCCTGATACAGCCCTCTCATCCCTTAATATAATAGGTAGCACTTTATTCATGAATAACAATATGTAACATCTATTGAGTATATACCATGTACTGAGACTTGTACATGTTACACATATGAGTTAAACTAATCCTCACAATAGGCGCTATTATTACCCCTATTTTACAGAAGAAAATGAATTACAATGAAATTAAATAAGGTCCATCAAGGTCATGATACTTGTAAAAGAACCATGATTCGAACTGTGGAATCTTTTAACCACCATACTATGCTCCAAGTTAAGCATTACACAGGCAAAGGACGTTTACTTTACTCACAGATGCAGGGCTTCAACGGGAGCACTAAAAGAAGGAAACTATCAAAAGACCTTTTGAGATACTACTTTTTGGAACTCACGGAAGAGACGGAAAGCTCCCCATATCTAGGGTACTAATGGAGTCAGAACCAGGAGATTGGTGCCCCTCATGCAACAAGCTTTGAGGCATGGGGACTGTGGCTAGGGTTGTGAGTAGGTGAGGATGGAGGAGGCAGATGGGGAAGGCAGTGTGCCCCACCTGGTCTGCATTCAAGGCC